ATAAAATTTTTTATAATTTTTATAGGAATATGTTTTTTTTTCACCTGCAATATGTCACATCTTCCTTTTTTTTGGTAATTTTTATATATTAATTATGTTGATCATTTTGATCACATGACTTTGTTAAGATTTTCCATTTTTTTAAAAAATCCTGGTGTGAAACCTTATGCACTTATTATGTACTATAAGAAACCTTATACTATATGTATTTTTGACCGCTCTGCAAGTTTTCTTAATATATCAAAAGAGATTTAGATTGTCATTTTGACTTTTATATGTAATATGTTATAGGAATGCAACATAACACAGGTATGATAAAAAATAAAACCCATTTTTATTTTTTTATTTTTTTATTTTTTAATTTTTCTTAAAAAACTTTTTTTTCTTTTAACTTTTCTTAATAAACTTTTTAATTTTTTTTGTTTTTTTTTGTCAAATTATTTTCAATTATACAAAATGATTATCAATTTTACTAATGATTAGCATTTTCCAATATTTGTATTTAAACGATATATTAATATTTTTAATAGTGAGAAAGCAATATATGATAAAACTTATATAATATTCTTTTTAAATAATTTTTATTTTCAAATTAGAGGACAAGGTGAAGATTTTATTAAAAAAGTATTACAAAATATATTAGGAGTTACAGCAAAATCAGAAAAATTTCAAAAGTTTCAACAGTTGGCATTAGAAGTGAAAGTTGAAACTCTTTTAACAACAAAATTACAAAAAGATTTTAAAATATCACTTACAGAGGCACAGACACTTATGGCTAATATTTTAATTAGATTTATCTTAGCATTTAAAGAATTAATATGGAAACCAAGATGTGAACAAGTTATTTTATGGGAAAAAAGAAGAGGCATTTCCAGAACAGATAAAATTACTTCAGAATCCAAGGGAAAGGACAATTCAAATCAACCTTCAGAATCCAAAGTAAAAGACAATTCAAATAAACTTTCAAATAAAGTTAAAAATCTACAAACAGGAAAAATAGATCAATTACAGAGGTCAGTCTCCTTGGTAAAAAAATCAATGGATACCTTTGTAAGGAAATACATATGTGAGGATTGGATTCCAATAAAAAAGAAAGTTGATAAGGTTACATTATACATGAGCAAGAAATTACTGGATTGATAGTTCCAAAATAATATTCTTATTCTGTTCTCAATTATATTTATAATTTTAGACATATATTCTATTACTAATTTTATTTTATTAATATTTTTATTTTTATATTTATTTTTGTTTTTATTTTTGTATTTGTTGGTGTTTTTATTTTTGTATTTGTTGGTGTTTATTATTTTTATTTTAATTATTATGTTTATAGTTTATAGTAGGCTATTTTGGTTTGCTTTTAATTACTTTTATTCTTAATTCTACTAATAGTATAATATCTAATGTTTGATCGGACTGGCCTGGTACTGGAAGTATCATTCATAGAATATTTGTGATTATTATGTAATCCGAATATATTCTAATAAAATGGTACATGATTCAACATTTAAAAAAAAAAAAAAAAAAAAA